AAAAAAGTACGCACACACATATATTTATATATATTTCACTATCCAGGGAAACATGTATATATGTATATAGTGGTGGACGACTACATGAAAGAAAAAGAAAATAAAGAGGTGAAATCAGTGCAAACATGAAAACGAAGAAAGATGAGAAAAGAAAGAAGAGAATAAAACAAGGGAAAGAAACGATGATGGTATATATAAGGGCAAAGCCCTAACAGTATTAAACGCAGAGATAAAAGTCATCGACAATTAACATCATTGTGTCAGTGTTCCACTGAAGACCGATTTCGGTGTGATCAGTGGTCAGTGAATGTCGGTGCTGTAGTGAACGACAGTGTATCAGTGATCTTCGGTGTCGGTTTAGTGTCAGCGTCAGTGACATCACTGCAGTGTAACCCAGTGCTCAGTGTACCGTTCTTCGGTGACGTCAGTTATTAGTAAACCGAAACTGCACATCCCTACTTAAACTATGGATTAAAGGTGTATGATTAAAATTGATTTTTAATCGATTTTTTGATTATTTTTTTTACATGGGAAGTGATCACGACGATCATCCATATTTAGAAAGGTTTATGACTGGCCACAAACAAGCGTTCACAGGAATCACATCTTACGAGAGTGTCAAAGACGGGAAAAGCAATGCCTCCGCTTAAGAAGCTGAAAATTCTTACACGAGGATTATCAGACTGTTGCTGATGGTCAGAAATCCGTTGAAAGCAAGTACAAAATTTGAAAGAGCGCAGTTATTCATCCATAGCAGTGGACCAACTGATTATAATCAAAAAACAGTCTGAACCTAAGCGATTTATAGAAAACTAAATTGTCTTATACTATGTCCCTCAATCAATAGTGAACATCGATCAGAATACCTACACTGCAAAAAAAAATTGCAAAATAAACTATTCGTCTTCGTGAAGCAATAAAACTCTCGTTGACATCGTCGAGGAACCAACCATTATACTTTGAATCATAATAGACTCTTCTGACAATAACGTAGAATGATTGAATTCTTGAGCGCGAAATACTAAATCCTTTTCACAAAGCAGAATAATCTACCTTGAGTATAGAATAAAACACTTTTTTTTTAAATCGCACAATAATCTACCCATGAGTGTATAATAATAAAACCTTTTTTTACGATCATCGAATAATGTACCCTTATGCGTAGAACACTAAACCCTTCTGATGAAAACGTAGATTAATCTACCTCTGAGAGTATAATAATAAACCATTTTCATAAAATCGCAGAATAATCCACCCTTGTGCTTAGAATAAGAAACCCTCTTGCTGATAGGGTAGAATAATCTACCCCTGAGTGTATGATAAGGAACTGTTTTTCTAAAATCGTAGAGTAACGCACCCTAATGCGTAGAATAATCTACCTCTGGGCGTATAATAATAAGCCATTTTTCTACGATCGTAGAATAATCTACCCTGATGCGCAGAATAGAGAAGCCTTTTGTTAATAGCGTAGAGTAATACACCCTCATCTCTAAAATAATAAATGTTTCCGACAAAAACATAGATTAATGTGCTCTAGACCGTAGAATATTAAACCCTTCTCACAAAAACACTGAATAATAAACCTTAAATGTGTGCCATATACCCTTTCCATTTTCATATACCCTCACTGTCATAAACGCTTCGGTTGATAAATCCTTTGAGAGTTTATGACATCCGCATAAATTGTTCAGGGATTTATAGCAAATTATTTTTAATGCAACGGTTCATTATTCTACGAATTTTTTTTCAGTGGACCATTGAGTCCTGAAGTAATGCTATAGGAAGGTACCCTTAGGTTCTCAGGTACTAGTTTAGGGGTGCGCTTGGATGCTCAAGACCTTCTATAAAGGGTAGTCTTGGATTCTCATGTCCCAAACTACACGGTACCCTTGGATCTTCTAGTCGTATACTAGGGAATACTAGGAATCCGGCCTTACCATTACCAGGTAGCTAGTAGCGGAGCAGTTTCCTTGTTCTAGGGTTACGGTGAGAACAGTAACTTGTTCGTTACCTGGTGATTGTAACGATTAGGTTCGTCAAAATTTCCATCTATCGGTGTACCTTTAATTTCACATGATCTATAATCTGGAGGAGGCGACTAGTCATGACTGAAAGTCTGAGAAGGTACTTCCAGAGCATCATGGACTCTTGTATACAGGTTCCTGAAGTCCTTGAAACTGTTTCTGAACGATTGGCCAATAGTTCTGAAGCGTCACTCGATAGAAGAAGTGGATTTGTCGAGATGCTATCGAATTGGGTGCTAATAGTTTCTGAAGCGCTATCGGACAGAGAGCAGTTGTGTAATGTAACCTTTTTCCAACTAGTAAGTGTTCGAGAAAAGTTAGTATTAGCTCAGGAGATAACTGGGGACGGGATAAAGGAAAATTCGACACCTACATTATTCATCAGAATGATGGGTTTTTGAGAAAACAACGAACTTCTATAAAGGCTGGCGAGTCTATATCGCGGCATCGGGAAAGCGGAGTTTGGAATTTGTGTCTCAGAACTCTGCAGTCGATTTTGCCGATCGAAGAGACCAGCACCCCGAGGAAGTGAAGATCGGTCAGAAACTTTTGTATCGTTAATTTGAAAGTATGACTGGTAAGTGGAATCTGATTTCGTTTATTACTCAGAAGTGAAGGATTTCACATGTCGTCGTTTTCGTTCTTTATTGAAAATGAGGTTTTAGAGTTGAATAGGAGAACGATGCTTACGTACTCTGAAGTTGTCATGCGATACGGTTCTGTTATTATGGAAAGCTGTATTC